AAATCCGTTTTTTTAATCATATTGGAAAACTGATCATTTGGTTATTTATAGTACAAACTGTAAGACTGAATGTATTTTTTTCACTGTCTGGAGAATCTATTTTATAAGATCTCGCAATCTCCCTGGTACGCATTGCATTTCGCATTAGGCCGATGTCAGACATTGCGAATCGACCTACCATCCCCGTTGCGTCGCGTACAGCGAATGGCTCGATCTGGTGGGACCGCCTACGCTAGCGATTCGCCCTATTCACAAACTCTGACATCCTTACGCCTTACGTCGCTTTTTTCGTCTTGTTTCGCAGTATCCTTACGAATCAGTGAAAGAAGTCTTCTAAAGTGGACTCACAGACATACTCAAACTAAAATTATGGTTTGAAAAACTCATGGGGAAAGGTGAGTTGGCCATGTGATAACGCGCGCAGCTCGCGTCGCGGTTTTTGCGATTCTGCGCTTGCGCTATTTCACAATTGCAACATTGGATGAACACTTCATATCTCTCCACACTTGACCGCAATCGCACTACAACGTAGTCGCAAAGTATGACCGCGACGTTTCTCACTCAATTTCAAAACTCCTTTGTAACGCTGCGCTTCTCCATATTATTTTGAAAATGACTCGGCGACATAGTTTAACTTCACCAACTGGCAAAAAACCTTTCTTGGATCCAAAATAGATTCTGAATTCCGATCAGGTGACATCAACTATTGCTCGTCTACCGTCATTGCCAGTGTCAGAACGTCCAGCTAGTGTACAAGCCGTGCAACGTGTCCTTACTGATGTAGCCGAATTATTGGAGCAGATGGAACTTGCTGTGCGAGATCTAGCAGCTGGAAGGTATTTATTACATCCAAATATTATCGTTTATTGTTAATTCAGCGTGAGTGTAGAGTTTTGAAGGATACCTTATATGATGTCTTGCTTTATAGTGCTGAACGGACCAAATACGAGCTAAGGGTGAAGAGCTATCGTAACGATAAACGTCTTCTTGACAGCGAACTCGAGAAGGCTATCAAGCGTTTGCGTGAGGCTGCAGACAGAGACGAACTACTTGCTTACGACGAGGCAGTGGAGATGGATCAACAGGTTGGAGAGGCTGCTGTTGTTTTAGTGGATTCCAATTTATTGAGTATGTTCTAGGAAGAGCAGCTGATAGCGAATACTGAACGATTAGAGAGGTCGTCGAGAAAGATTCAAAATGCATACCGCATGGCTGTCGAAACTGAGCAGGTTAGTCTTCTATTTGAATTACTCTGTTTTTTGATGTTGTTTTCTTATTCGTATTATTCTTCGAATTCTTGTAGATTGGAACGGAAGTGTTGGGAAATTTGTCGCAGCAAAGGGAAACAATAAGTCGGGCTCGAGAGAGAATGCGTGAAGCTGATGTGGAGCTAGGAAGGAGCAATCGTCTGCTCAACACCATGATACGAAGGTACAATTTTCTAGCATATTACACAGCTTGCTGCTGGATGCCCAAGTGTAGAGCTTTGACTGTAAAATCAACCGTTGATGAGTGGCAGGTCAAATGCTGATCTTCTTTGCAGGTGTCAAACTATCAACTCGCGTTTCTGTTTTTTTCCCATATATTTCTTTCTAATTTCTCTAAATTTCACAACAATCATTTGCAATCTATTACTAATCTGTGAACTGCTTGCAATGAATAGAGTCACATATCTGAGTTGCCAAGCATATCCATCAGATTGTCACTCCGTAGACAGAAACACAAAACTGGCTGCTGGGGTACCGATAGTAGTTCTGCGGTGCTGCCATGCTCACTAGTGATCAACTCTCATACATTACAATTCTGTTTTTTAGCACTAGCTGTTGATCTTCACACTAGGCGTCTCACTTTTCAACCTATTTGAGCCAGGTAATCTGTCTGCACTTCTTAACCAGACTAGTGAAGAAGAAGAAGGCTTCTTAACCATGCAGGCTTCTTAGTTTCGTATTTTGAGCATGCATATACGCAAATTGGGCAGAGCTACCGTTGGGGCTCCACCACAAGGTGTCATACTCACTTTGGAGTGAGGGTTGTATGAGTGGAATAATTGGCAGCAGGCTAATGCGCGGTCAAGGATTTTTACGCGGGGTATCGTATCGGGGCAAAGGTGAAGAAATTATGGCATGAGCCTAAGATGGTATTTCACACTTCTTATTAGGACCCCTTCCTCCCCTTTCTCCTTCGCCCCACGAACAAAACAATGTGGAAAAACGTTTGGGCGGGCCGAGTCTAGGCAGAAGGTTAGTTTGAAAATTTAACGAAACTATAGACTCCTCTCTCTTCTGTAATCGTATCTCTGTTATGTTTTTCACAGGGAAGTTCGTCTTGTACAATACGACCAATTTCAGAGTCATCCAGAATCGTCTGTTATTGCTGATTGTTGCAGTGCTTTTAATGTTTTCTCTTCTGTTTCTAGTTTACAAATCCTTATGATTACATGCTTTTTTCATGGAAGTTCTTTGAAAAACGGTATCGATGTATCGGTGCTCCACCTAATCCTTTTAGGAGATTGCATGGGAAATCTACAGGCATTCATAAGTTGTGATTATAGTGATATCATTGTATTGCTGCTAAGTAGAACTCTTGTATGCATCTGAGATCCTCCATAGTTTCATTGATGCTTAATTTTGCTCTCGAGGAAATGCGTCGAGAATGTACTTATTGAATCGCAGCTATGGTCAGTGTAAGTTCTGTATTCCTTTGATTCCAATTGCTTCCGCGTTTTTGCTTGCTTGAGCCCACTGTGCAGTTCAACCGTTTTGACCACGCAATATCTGTTCGTAAGTCGCTGTCTTACTTTCATTCGAAAATATTTTTAAAAATACCCGGGTTCCCTTTGAAAAAGTAGTCATGTTTGTCATGTATTTATTAACATATTGTGGAATAGATTGGTAAAATGAAAACTCAAGTTGGAATGAGATGAGCTATTGAGTCATACAGTGATGTGTTTTTTCTATCCTTCCATATCCCATTTTGTAAATACACCGATGTGAATATTGTATGTTCTTGCAGGATATAAATTTCGCGAACGTTGATTCTCTTCTTTGGTACAGCTATCGCAGAACAACGATGTATATCGCATGTGCAAATCTTTCCAAAATTCATGTTTGATAAGTGCTCCAAGTGGAGAGGTTATTTTTAGATGTACAATTATCGAAAACCGCCTCCAGAATTACCACAAACTGAGTTTGTTGTGATACAGTATCCTGGAGTTATCAAAAACCTTGATCGCGCTCTCGAGACCCTAGGTGGTTTACCGAAAATATCACAGGTACGATTTAACATTTTCTGAGGCAGCTGGAACTGAGTTACTTTATCAATCCGCTTCATAGGTAGAACAATAAGCACACCTTGGTAGTATGCTTTGCGTCTAAGTGGCAGTGCACATCTGGCTAATAGAATGGCGCGCGCCCCGGATCATGTTAAAAGCAGATTTCCAGCGCACGGGAGCATGGCGGTCCCAGTAGAAGATCAGTATCAAGTGTACTTTTGAGAACTGAAGTGGCACCTGATGCCACGTATTTTATTAAGATTGTAATTACGACCAGTCTTGTAGCGGGAAACGTCTATGCGTGACCAAAGCGGAATTATCACGTTTGAAGAGATAATAGTAATTATAGGGGCACATCGAAATACTTCAAACTTTCTTTTTATGCTACAACGAGAGTTCGTTTCCATTCTCCTTTTCACACTCCATAGTTCACGAAAAGAAGTGGAGAACAAATCAATCTTCTCGAAAACATTCGCTGCTATGGGATACATGGCAGGAGGTGAACGTCTAAAAACACTGGAGTTAGCTTTGAATCAGCTTATGCGCTGTCACAATCGCAGCCTATGGGGGCATCCTCTTCGACTAAGCCTCGAGGGGCTAGGCCCGATGAGACAGCAGCTTGCGCACCACTAAGACCTTAGACTTCATACCTGGTCCGTATGCTATGCTTCCGAGCTTAAGTGCTCAGTATTCTAAAATTTTCCTTTAAATTTATTTGTTTTGAACGATATAGTTTCTTCATTTTCAGTGCATGTTTACTTTTACCTACATACATACATCAAATGTAGGTCCTTTATCAGGGCAATCCCAGATGGGAAGACAGAGAAAATTCAAAGGACTTTTCGTCCCCCAACCCCTTCGGGAGGATAGCATACGGCCCCTGTTTTATTTGTTTATTTTATTGTTTTAATTTTATTTTCTAACAGAAAGGAGTGTTTTAATAGAGTTTAGTTGCAAGTCACTACCGCGATAACGCGCACCCTCACTCTTTCTTCTATGAATTATTGTCTTGCGGTTGTAGAAATACTGATTTTTTTTCAGAACCACTTTGCTAGTCAAGCGTTGGAATTACGTCACACACCAGAGAATCCTTATACGAGTGCCTCCGTTTCAGAAAAGAAACTTGATTCTGCAGTATGAAATTATCTAATGTTCTAGTTCCATGATCCCATCTGACTTGTGCTTTCTAAGGTCACACTGGCAGTTACGTTGTGATGAATTCCGCGACGATAGGACAAAAGAAGCCGGAAGTCAATAGAAACAACCGTTGCTTAGGCTTAGTGGTGAGTATCCACGATTGCCATAGCGTTTTTGGATGTGTCATCCAAAAGAGTGCTTTTTCTTTGTAGAACGAAGAAAACCGTTGTAGCCTGATGGAAACTCTTGAGTAGAATGTTTCGGAGAGCATAGTAAATCCCTCATTGTATTTGTGAATGTCAAGCTATTCGGTATACATAGGGTTTTGTTAATAATCTGTTTGATTACGGTCAGGTCAGATGTTGAATAATAGCAGTCGTTTTACAGGTAAACGTTTTATACACCTTTGACACTATGTGCGACTTCCAATATCTGCCACTAAAACGGCGGCAGGAAGGTGAAGGATTTGACGATCTCATTCCTCGTCTTATTCCAAGAGATCTTCCTAGCGCACTCTGCTGGTAAGATTTTTTTTATCATTCGTAAACAAGTGTAATTGACCAGATATGATTCCCCGCAATCGTTTTTTTCAACTTTGTACATTCTAATTCGCTACCTCTCGTTGTGATTACGTCTATTTTAAATATTTTGTTGTCATTTTTGAAATGATTCTTTGTAACTTACTTATGGCTTCTCAATGGGCGTTACACGGGTTCAACTGGACTCATTACGTTTTGTGTAATAGAGGATTGTTTATATTTCCATTTCCACTAACCAACTTCTCATAGTTTATTTCAAAAGTTAAGTTGTTTATTTCTTTTTTTTACTTTTGCTACAGCATTCTTTTGAGGTGGGACCGCCCTGACTCATATCCTGGCTACACACCTTTATTTTTGCCGCCGTACCAGTTCAGTCGCTACAACACTCCGTCCACGAAAATGCTATGTCGCGAATCAGACTTCACACTCGAAAAGATCCGGAAAAAGACTGGACATGGTCAAAGTAAGCTATCATTCCCATAATTGAAACCTCATGAATCAATGAAGATTTACCTTCTAATTCCCCGTTCTACTTCACCTTATGAATCAAGATATGAAGTGGTCGTGCCTTTTTTTGCTGTGTAATCAAGACTCACAAGTATATCAAGCTGGCTGAGTTTTCCGTTGGTTTTGTTACCTCTACCTCTACTCCCTTTTCATGAGTTTCGGCTTTCTTTTGTTTGAACTGCGATTTTTGAATTCCTCTTGCTCATTCTTGGTTCATGCATGTCTATAATCTTAATAAGTTCTATCTCTTTGAAGATTTACGACTCGAAAGAAAGGCCCTGTCAGTGACTGTGCAGGCCAACGATCCATTCCCTACCGCTCCGTCAGAGGAAGCTGTTCTCGATGCCGATTTTAGGTATGCCTGCTTTCAATCATCCAAAAAGCGATTCTCTTTCGTTGGTTACATATCCTTACCCCAAAAAGAAGAACATAATTTAAGCAAGATGAGCGCGCCTCTGTCGTTCTTGACTTCTATTTCGATGCGGATTGGAATTTTAACATTTTCTTTGAATAATTTAGAAATATAAAATTTCTCGCAAGTTGAATCAAATAATTAGTTCTCGAAATAATTATTGCTATGCTGTTTCAGGTGTAAAAATGAGGAGCCACACAGAATGCTGGCAGCACTATTTCGAGAGCGCCCTATGTGGACTAGAAACGCTATTGCTTACAAAACGGGTCTAGACGACAACTTACTCAAGTAAGTTTTTGAAAGTTAAGCTCAAGTTGGTTTGACGTTCAGCATTTGCCACAAATCGTCAACATAGATCTTTCAAAACTTTCACTGATCGAAAGTGAAGCAAAGCGAGTGCCGAAAACACTCAAAATAAACGACCCTTTTTCTACACGGCTGGTGAGCCTGTGGATCAACTTCGAAAGAAAATGTCAATAGGTCAACCCGGCCGTCGAAATAAGGTGTATATTTTGCGCCCACCTTTAAGCAGTGAGCTCAGTATTGCCCTTCATACCTGCTAAACGATTCTCTAAACGTTCTCTATCTTGAATCCTATTCTTATCAAAAATGTCCTTGAAGGCGTAGTCCACAAAGAAAAGACAGCTCATCGAGGCAGAGATAGTCAGTGGTGCAGGGTGAGGAAAAAACATGAGAAACGACCCAGAACCCGAGAAAGGAACTCCTTCTTGCCCTTGATTTCCGCACTGATGTGACTCTCATCGGTGCTGCCTTCTTCAACGCTAACGCTCTCTCTGCTAAACGGCTAGAGATTCTAACGGCGAGAGGGTGGGCGTGCCACGGCGCTAGCGGCGCACTGACGGTCACGCTATATTGCCGTGGCATATCCTTTGCTATAAATTGCATGTCTGCCTGCTGTCTGTCCGCACCTCTAGGGGGTTCGCCTGTCATTCTACTAGGTAGGTTTCCCTTTGTCGATCTCCGGCCTTGTCGTGAAATCCCTCTTTTAATTGCTCACGAAGAAGCTCATAACACAAACATTTGTTGAGAAGTTGATGCTACCTCTTGCCTTTGAGACCGTCCCGCCCATACCACTATCACTGTGCTTTTCCGCGTAGAAAAATAACCGATTTAGAGAATCGTTAAGCTAATGTGAATGACAAAAATGGGTTCAAAGTTTCGAGGAGCATAATGAAATACATTCTATTTCCCTGACGCGTGTTCACTTGTATGACGTGCTTCACTAGTAAGGCATTCGAGCCGAGGCGAGATGGTCAGGCTCGGTGACAAGGAAGCACGGGGATGCGAGAGATGCAGATGCAGCAAGTGGTTCATCAATGCCCTTGCCACACTTTTTATGTCGCAAAAACAGGCACTATCTCTGCGGTTCAGTTCACGCTCGATTTGCCCAAGGGTTGTCCCCATGTGACTAATCTAGAAGGTACTATGGTCTTGAATTTCCGGAGGGTCTCACTTTAATTCAAGGGGCACTCGGATCTTTCATCAGTGGCATATTATTAGTGGCAGCTAATTGTTCGCAACACTCCTAATTGCAGTGAATCGTGATCAGGCAAAGCGCGCGTGGCTTGCACCCGTGCGCGCTCGTGGCTGTCCCCACCCTAAGTGGGCCCGTCATTTGAAAGACATATTTGGATTCCTTCCATTGTCCTATTTCGTCACATTTCAGAGAATGTTTTCAGTTCCTCAAGAATTTGTGATTCTTCTTTATTCATCAGTTCAGGACACTACTGCAGAAGTATGCATTCTACATCCAGTCGGGCCCATGGGGTAGACTTTGGTGCAGATTTGGATACGATCCGCGTACTGACCCGGAGTCAATGCTCTACCAAACTCTTATGGTTTCCTTCAGGTAGATTTCCACTTATTCTTTTTCATTTGCATGCGCGACGTTTGTGCGGCCAAAAATCGTAAAACCAAAAATAAAACATCAATCATGAAACAAATTGCGCCATGAGCTAGTCTTCATTTATAAAAATTTCTAGACAGTTCTCTTGCTTCCTTTTTAGTTCCGAAGCATTATTTCACGCGTGAACGCATCATATTCATATGACCGCAATTCAATTTTTCGAATACTTTATTATTAATAATAAATATTGTTAATATTTTTCCTGCTGGCTCTACTCAGCTCTTGAGCAGCTCTTTCACACTACTATTAATCCCGTTCACAAGTCGCCCTGATGGTCAACGCGTATAATGTACCCGTCTGTAATGGTTGCGGAGGCGACCGGTGTGCAAGCCAGCGCGCCTTTCTTTACTACCAGTCTGGTTCCATTGTTAAACCAACACCTCCGTGAGAAACGGTTCAGAATCCGAGAAATGGGATCCGCACAGAAGGCGACTCTCATACAATGCTGTTCTCTTCAAACGTTGTCTGCTCAATGCTCGAGCGGGCAGTGGCGGCAAAGGATGGACTCTGAGTCGCTGGTGGAATACTCCTTTTGCCTCGATAATGGCGCATCCTCCTGGACAGCGCCACCGTTAAATTAGGATATTCACGCGCCTTTTCAGCTTTTGACTTATCTGGCGAACCCTCCTTCAAAACGAGGTTGAACCGGGCCAAACGGTTCATTTTTTCTTTCCTCTATTCAAGCGTGTTAATGTGAAGTGGAAGTTGAATTGTTATAAATAAGAACCACTTGTTTAGGCAGCATACAAGAATACCTGAGAAGCAAATCGGTGATAGTGGTCCTCTTGACAGAAGCGGTTCCGTCTGAGGCTAGCAGTTATTAGGCCCATTCATTCACTATCAACCAGGTATTTTTTTCACCGTTTTAGCTCACGAGAGGAGAACCATACTACAACAAAAATAGAGGAAAGCAGGCCAACAGGATTGCCGCGGTTGTTGCTTCGCACGACCAGTTTTGTGAACGACAGTTCAACGCTCATACACATTTGGGAGGTTAATTGCTGGGAAATATCGGGCACTCAGGTGCGGAGGTGGTATAGTGGCAAGTGGCACGCTTACCACGCGAGCGGTTTGAAGGTCAATCGGGCCGTGAGTCGCCCGGGCCCACGAAGCATTCCATCATTCCGGAGTTGGTTAATTGGTACCAGAGACTTGTCTGGGAAGTGGGACTTGCCACTACACCACTTCCGCCTGTTGAGGCGTGATGGTAGATTGAAAATGTTCACAGATATTGCAATGGAATAATTTGCAAATTGTAACGTTACATAGATGTCTTCTGCCATTTCCCATTTTTAACGATATTTAAGGACGTCTTCCAAGAGTGCGGACAGATGTGGTACAGCCTTTGCGACATTAAATTGCCATTCGCTGAGGCGTTACTCAAGCAAGACCACAGTAAATCGTCAGAACCAGAAGCGTATGGTTGGATACATGCAGTAAGTTTTTTCTGCATTGCGTCAGATCTCAAATCGAGATTTCAATTTTTAATGTTTGTTGCCAATATTGATCCATTTTTATTAGTGGAGTTAAAATCATAACGCTGCTGTGGAATTTTCCACCCCATCGACGATATAGGCATACTAAGAAGTAGGTAGACTAGTAATCTTCCACTTTTCTGTGTCCAAGTTGTGGGAAAAAGCTTTCGGTCTTTATTGATCTCCTGCAGGAGTGCGCCATGCAATGCCACTTTCATCCCCATTTAGAACATAGTGCGTTTAGATGAGATTTATCCTATAAGATGACTTGGAAAGCCAGCCGGCTCACAAATCAATGTTTGTATCCTCCCAGATTAAAGAGGCACCAATTAAACGGCCCAGGAGGGACGGAAGGTTTGGTTGGTCTCGGCGAGAGTCCATCCGGGATTCGATCTGACACGTGCGCGTGAAAGGTGGTGCTTTTGATGCTACACTCCCTTTGCCTGTAAAAAGATGAAATGAAAAACCGCAAACGATTTTGCTGGATCGACTGGACATTTCTGCTGCACTGTATTCACTAATTCCCGGCTCTGTCGTTGTTTTGATCCTATTTTCTTCTTGGGTCAGTTTTTTTTTACTTTGGCTCGATTACTCCACAAGCATGCGTTTGTCGTTGACCTTCGCAGAGTTAAAGGAGGAATTCACGATAAGAACGAAGGTCAAAAGAAGGGGAAAATTGCATAGTTGGAGACAGGCGGACCTCCTGAGGGTGCTGACCGACGCGCAATTGGCAGCGAAAGATTTGACCTCGGCGATCTAGCATGGCTCACTCTTGGCGCGGTTGGCGGGGTACGCCCACCGACTATCTAATCACTCGCCGCAGGTCTATACGTGGCGAGTGATTAGATAGCAGAGAGAGCGTAGTGTTGAAGAGGGCACAGCGATGAGAGTCGCATCAATGCGCAAATCAACGGGCAAGGAAGGGTCCCATTTCTCGGGTTTCGGGCCGTTTCAAATGGTTTCTTCTTCATCCCTGCTCCACTGACCACCTCTACCCTTATTTCCAATGAGCTAACTTTTCATCGTAAATTCTGCCTTTAAGATTCTAGAAGAATTTTGTTTGTAATTTCAGGATTTGCTGGAAGAATTACGTGAACTGATCAAAGAGGACGTACGAAAAACAAGTGAAGACATGGACGCTGATGAGGATTTGGAGCCTACTGACGATTTCTAGAGCAGAGACTATTGAAAATTTTCTGCACGGAAAAAATATGAAACGTTAATATCTCAAAAATAATTTGCAGTTTCTCACGCACTGCACTGAAATCTTCTCAAACTGAATGTGACTAAACTGGCTTGCCGCCTATGATATCAGTAAAATCGTGTAAATTTGAATTTTGTTCACCCTTGAGTAGTAAATTTTACTTGCCACGTGAGTTGTTCTTTTGTACGAGTGGAATGCTTTTCAAACCTCTTCATTTATTTCTGTAAATTGCTGTTTAATATATAATAAATTACCAATATTTTGAACTGCAGTCGCATTGTCTAACAAAAATGCTTTCAATCAACAAAAAAAATGGGGACAGTCAGGTTGCAGGCCGGTTGGTTTTAATGTGTCACTTACTAGTGCGCAAATAACTATGAGCTCCGTCATTCACAGCCAGGCCCGGCAATTATCCACCATTCGCAGACGCCTGACAGCTGGCAGGAATACTCTCCAGTCGCCTGCGAGTAAGTGGTCTCGGCACTATTTCACGATTTCGAATCGCATATGCACTGTTCGAACTGAAAAGTCCGACACTGGCCGTGTCCTTAGCTGAACGGCGGTTACTGCTTCACTTTTGTCATGAGTAAATCGAGGATCTTGCAAATTTGTACAGCGTGGTAATGAGTCTTAAAGGTACCGGTCGGGACTAGAACTTTAGAGTTGACTCCACTGGCTGAATGAGCAGCAGTACTTATCACCAGCCGCAGTCGCCATCATTCCAGATATACCTATGATCCCGGTCTACTCCAGTGTAGGGCGGGGCAGCATGATTATTTTACCAGAAAGTAAGGGTAACTTCGAGCCGGAGATGTAGCCAGTCGTCTACGGGGATGAGGAAGAGGGATGACGGCAGTCAGCTGACATGCGTGGAAAGCTGAAATGCTCGAGTTCACAACATTTCGCAGAGAAACCGATCATGATGCCCCTAACTGTAATAGACCCTATGACCCATATCCTAAAGCGCCACCACATGCTTTAAAGTCATTGAAGTCCGAGTATGTTAAGTCCACCCACTGAACTTTGATTAAGTTTTACCACTGAAGCAATCACTGATATCCGCTACTAGTAAAGCTGTGGTATGCGTACGCGCCTCTCTCCCCTTTCCTCCCGAGCCACATTGCGCCAGGACGAGTTTTACTGTAAAACCCTGATGCACACGCATGTCACGCTTTCGTCAATCTATAAATGGACGAAAGCATTGTTAGCACAGCAACATGGAACACGATCAATCGCCGTCATGCCGAACGACTGACTTTAATAGCGTCTTTCTTATTCTGCTCGACCGCAGATTACGCATCTTATCGTAGTAATATATCGTGAGATATTTTTGACTGGCTCGTGTTGTGTACTATGTTTCGTTTGATTTTCTGTCGGGTGTTCTCTTCACTTTGATATGGTTTCTTTGTAATTCCTCTCACTGTTTTGCTCTCGAGTTAGGCTTGCTTTTTAATGTGCCAAATTAAAGCTGGAAGATTTGTGTTCCTTGCTTTTTTCAGGCACTCCGTCCTTCATTAGCGCTGGCTTTTTTTTCATTTCTTAGCTTTGTGACTTGCAGAATTATATTTTGGATAAAGCCTACAAAGTAAGTTGGAAATAAGGTATGACCGGGAAAAGCATAGGTAACTGGAGAACGCTCTCGCAATCGCTCTTTTTTGTTAATTAACTTCCGTGAATAGACACAAACAAGAAAAACCTCCATTTTTTCTAACTACAGGTTTCTCCATCGTTTTAAGGCGTGGTGCAGCCTCATAAATAATGGAGAAACTTGCGATCAAGTAAAATAATGGCTTTTACGTGCAGTTCAATGTGGTAGACCATTTTCATCTTCAGGTCTTCTGTTGCTTTTCTGAATATTTTCGTCTTTCAGAAGGTGAGAATAGGCGGTCATGCCTATATACGATCAATGGTGGTTTCGTGCATTTGTCGCAGTTGTTATGTTTTTCGGGTGTCAGTTATGCTTTATGGTCTCTAGACTACAGAATTTGGACGAGGAAAAGGTCAATCTTCAGGCTGAGGTATGTTTGTTGCCGAACATTCCACCATGTTAACGGCGCTGCCCATCTTCTTTCGTTAAGGTCCAAACACTAGAAACGAAAACGTGATGCATTACTAATGGACATAGCTACTAAGGAGCGCGAAATATTACGACTGGATAAGAAAGAACAACAGTTGGAGGTTTTGTGAGTATTGCTTCGTAAACGTTTCTATGAGCCTTCTTGCTGTAGTTTTTCCTGTTTCATTAGATTAGATTAAAAACCTTTTTTATGACGTAAGCTATCCGTAAACGGTCAGGGACCCTCTGCAGGCGTGCATAGAAGGCTTGCTTGTAAAATCACTGAGGCGAGATCATCTATAAAATCAAAAGTAATGCATCTGCTGGTTATACTGTCTATCAGAAGCAAATGAACTGCTCTCGGTTCTAGCTCCCTTTTAAACACCAAGCCAAACATATTTGATATCTTGAAGCATTTCGTGGTCACGGTGTCGAAATCAATTACTGTTTTCAGTCATAAAAAGAAACTGTTAAAGATAACTCTTGCTGAATTTAAAGTCTTTCAGGGTTCGCGACCGGCTGAGTCTTGTGCCGACTCGACGAAAGAGCGATCCAGTGATCTACTTTATTACTCCCACAAGCTTCCGTCCTGCGCAGAGAGCTGATCTAACTCGGCTCTCCTACGCCCTTTCACACATTCCAAACCTGTACTGGATTGTGGTTGAGGATTCCGACACAACTTCAGAGAGGTGCAGAATACTCAAAAGGTGGGAACTTATGTCATTCATTATCGGAAATCGGAAAAAAGTGTGGAGGTCGACGAGAAAGCAAAGAGTAGGATTCATCTGTAGGTTTGGTGTGCGTCAGAATGAGCCGAGATCGCCCTGATATTTGGTTTGGAATGAGTTCTTTCAGATCTCGTCTTCCTTATACCCATATCAATGTGAAGACTCCTGAAGACAAGAAGATGAAGTACTCGGATCCAAGCTGGTATTTGCCACGTGGTGTTGCTCAGCGAAATGCTGCTTTAGCGTGGATCAGGTAAAGTTATAACTTTTTTTTCGAAATATTGGCCCAATTTTTTTTCGAAATGTCTTGTTTACGTATTTCATCTGGAGGACACCAGTCTACTTCTCATACCAGTAATCTTTTTTTTTAAGAACGCAGCTGTCGGATGTCAAAAATGGTGCTGTTTATTTTGGCGATGACGACAACACATATGACTTACGATTGTTTGATGAGATAAGATCGATAAATGTGGCAGGAATCTGGCCTGTAGGCATAGTAGGCGGTCTCGTTGTGGAAAGACCTCTGTTGGCCGAAAATGGTTGGTGGAGTTTTGCACTGCCATGTGTTACGTTGTTGTTAGTTTTTTTCTCTAGGAACCATTATTGGCTTTAACGCAATTTGGAAGCCGGATCGTCAATTTCCCATTGATATGGCAGCGTTTGCCGTAAACATTACTATGGTAACATCTCACCCTGATGCTGGTTTTTCTTATGATGTAGCAAGAGGATATCAAGTAAGTTAATTATGTGATATCAAGAATTAAGTCTTTTTGAAAAGGAATATTATTTCAAGCTCGAGCTGAGCAAGCAATGTTCCTTTCCTAGTTTACCCTTTCTCCTTACTTCGAAAGCATATTCCACCATCAGTATTATGTAATAGTATTTTTCGTTCATATTATTATTAGTTCATTGGTCTAATCCACTGGGGTTGATAATTCCGCAACCGTAGAGGTATTCACACATTGTGACTTGAAGGAATGGGAAGAGCGTAGTAAGGGAGGAACTGCGGTAAAGGTCTGGGGCTTGCAACCATAAATACCAAAAGTAACCCCACATGCCTGTCTGCGGTACCTTCGCCCTCGTCTGAGATGCTCTCTCATCTCTGAGGCTGTTCCAGCCTCCGCGCCTATTGTCTCTCAGTTTGTCTCTCTCACAAGCTTGGTCATTGCCTACAGGGGATCCGTTTATTTCATGTTTCTTCGTCGTTTATTTGCTCCTTCTTTGGTGAGTCTATTAGCACCAACGAACTTCGTATTGAGCACCACAACTTCCTTAGCGGTCTGAAGCCGCAATTTATCGGATGTATTATATTAGTTCAGTGCTCATTTCTATGAAGTTACTGCCCTCCTCGTTTCCCCTCACTATTTTTTTCTTTTAGGAGTCGCATTTTCTCACAGGGTTGGGATTGTCTCGAAGCGATCTCGAACCCAAGGCGGCACTATGCTCCAAAGTCTATGTGTGGCACACTAGGACCGAAAAAGGCAAATTCTCAAAAGAGGATTGGAAAAGAATATCTTCAAAGGATAGGGAACTGTTCGATGACATCGAAGCTCATGCTCTTGGACTTTAACTTCAACACAGTCAAGAGAACACGATTCAGTAGGTTGGCGCTTGCTCTGCAGGACGTTCAGCTTCGATTTGAGGAGAACCGATAGAAGATCATTAGATCTTCTCAGAACAGGACGAATTTTGAAATATAGCTGGTAATTTTTGAACGGGTCATTGTGTAATAGGAATTGCTCAGTTGAGTATTGCCAGCTGCGATACGG